GAGGTGATGGGACCAGTGGCCGTGATCTTAGTCCAACCCCTTACAATCCAGGAATCACAGGCCTGCTCTGTGAGGGAAATTCTGCTTTAGTTCCTAGAATCCAGCCTTGCATCATTATAATGTTACTGAATCATAGAAACGTGGAATTGTAGAGTTGTAGGGGACACGGGTGGCGCCGTGGGTTAAACCCCAGAGCCTAGGACTTGCTGATCAGAAGGTTGGTGGTTCGAATCCCCGCGACGGGGTGAGCTCCCGTTGCCCGGTCCCTGCTCCTGCCAACCTAGCAGTTCAAAAGCACGTCAAATAGTAGATGATAGGTACCACTCCGGCGGGAAGGTCAACGGCGTTTCCGTGCGCTGCTCTGGTCCGCCAGAAGCGGCTTAGTCATGCTGGCCACATGACCCGGAAGCTGTACGCCGGCTCCCTCGGCCAATAAAGCGAGATGAGCGCCACAACCCCAGAGTTGGTCACGACTGGACCTAATGGTCAGGGGTCCCTTTACCTTTACCTAGGGGATCTCCAGAGTCATCTAGTCTAACCCCTGGCCATTCAGGAATCACAGCTAAAGCATCCCTGAGACATGGCCTTCCAACTTCTGCAAAGAAGGAGAGTCCACCACCTTCTCAAGGAGTCCTTTTAAAACCTTTTAATGTAATTCTTTTGATGTAACCTGAGCCCATTGCAAAATGTCAAAAAAGAGAGTACGGGTCCTGCTTTTTCGTTAAGAAAAGCAACCTGTTGCATATTAATAACAGGCCAGGTATTATTAATGCGATTGCCTTCCCAGTTTAAGGCACCTATGAAAGCCCCACATATTCTCTGTGCCCGCTTCCCCTCTCTCCCCCTTTTTTATTTATTATTCAAACGCCACATATTTCAACTCCGCAATATCTGAAGGCAGCTTCCAGGCTACATCTATATCGCCCCTTGAATTATCTTTTTTCTCGAAGGGATGACGGCTTAACTGGCTGCCAACTCGTCCACCCCGCTTGTCTAAGGGCAAACTCTTCAAAGTGCTATAGATGTAATTTCCAGTAAATTAATTCTCACAAGATCCATAATTTCCCTCCACGCCCCCCCTCCCCATAGAAAGACAGCTACATCTTTGGAGGGCTGATGGATTCGGCAGGCAGAGCTTTGAGCTACAATCCCCAACTGCGGCAGACCAGGCAAAGGAGTCGTGCCCAGTTTTTACCCTTGGGTTTATTTCTTTTAGGGCAAAAAATGTGATTTGGCAGAGCGGTTGGGGCATCCAAACCAGTTCTGCCTCTTTCCTTTTTCCTTCTCTTTTTCGTAGAGTGTTCATCTGCTTACAGCTGTACCAGCACTGGGGGGGGGGAGGTTTTGCCTTTCTAGAGCCGGCCAGTTTCTATAAGAGAGACAGCGGTTGCATAGCGGTTAGAGTGCCGGACTAGAACCCGGGAGACCTGGGTTTGAATTCCCCGCTCGGCCAAGAATCTCGCTGAATGACCTTAGGTACAGTCGTGCTGGCCCTTAGCCTAACCTACCTCGCCGGGTTGTTGCAGGGAATTAAATGAGGGAGCAAGCCGCTTTGAACACCGTGGAGGAAAAAAGTTGGGATAGAAATGCAAAAACAGAGTCTAGTCTCCACCCAGACAAGGAAAAGGCAATATCAGAGTCGAAGGACGCAATCCAGACGTCTCCATCACCGCAAATATGTCTGGTTCTTGTTTTGAAAAGCCTTCTAGGCTGAAGTTTCCACGTTCTGCTGCGGGAAGAAGCCTAGCGCAAGGGGATTCTTCAGCTACGGTTCCTGTGTCACGGGGTTGGACTAGATGACCATGGGGGTGCCCTTCCAACCCTACAACTCGTGTGTTTCTAAGGAAGACTAGAGAACCAGTGTAGCTGGGAGTGGAGAGAGAGAGAGAGAGACCTCTGAGCGAGCTTTCGGAAAAAAACCCCAACACAGACAAATGAAATGCCTGTCATCTGAAAATGCCAATAAGACAGTAAAAGTAATATTGAACCTGCCCGTGGAAAATATATGTAATGATTATGCCGGTATTCAATAGTCATAATTTCATCTTCCGTTTGAGTCGAGGGGGGCTGGCATTGATTCACTGGAGCTGCTGCGCAGAGGATAACTTTGAAAGACTTTGGGCCGAACTTCTGATCGGCTCTCCCTTCAACCTGCCCCCGCTTGTCAAAGTCAGACTTTCTTTCCTGAGCCAAGAGTCTTTATTTTTCTGCTCCTGTGCTGTTGAGTGGTATTATTTTTGTGTTTTTATACTGTAAACCACCCTGTGACCCTCAGATGAAGGGCGGTAATAATAATAATAATAATAAAAATAGTAATTATAATAATTTTTTATTTATACCCCGCTCTTCCCAGTTCAGAAAACCGGGCTCAGGGCGGCTAACAACAAATTTAAAACACTTAATTGATGCAACCAAAAAACAGCATAAAATACAGTATAAAATGTGAATAACAATAAATTCAGAATTCAAAAATCAATTTGGGGGGGATATCCATCCAATAAACATTAGATAATCCCCAGGGCTAGTTGGCTGAATTAGTCCTACTTGGGCCAGCGAGGAGACCACGGGAGAATCAGCTGTGGGGTCCCAGAGCGGGTAATCTTCATAAAATGGGGAGGAAATGAAGGGGAATAAAATATATTTTATTATAGAGGTAACAGGGGTTTTGTGCCAAAATTAAACAAACAGGCTGTGCCTATGAGCGTGCAGTTGATTATGTTTCTGGAGCGGATTTAGCACAAGAGACGGTCTTTTTCAATGTAGCTCCCCAGATATGGAGCACTCTCCCCAGTGAAGACCCGCCTTACACCTGGCCAAGACTTTCCCCTTTCCCCCTGGCATTTGGTGAACTGTGATGGCTGAGGCTCATAGAACTGTAGAGTTGGAAGGGGTCCGTGGGTCATCTAGCCCAACCCGCTGCTGGCAGGCTTGTCAAGGCCTATGTAATAATAATAATAATAATAATAATAATAATAATAATAATAATTTATATCCCGCCCTCCCCAGCCGATGCCGGGCTCAGAGCGGCTAACAACAGTAAAAATAACACAATTTACATAAAATCACAATCATAGAATCATAGAGTTGGAATAGACCACAAGGGCCATCGAGTCCAACCCCCTGCCAAGCAGGAAACACCATCAGAGCACTCCTGACATATGGTTGTCAAGCCTCTGCTTAAAGACCTCCAAAGAAGGAGACTCCACCACACTCCTTGGCAGCAAATTCCACTGTCGAACAGCTCTTACTGTCAGGAAGTTCTTCCTAATGTTTAGGTGGAATCTTCTTTCTTGTAGTTTGGATCCATTGCTCCGTGTCCGCTTCTCTGGAGCAGCAGAAAACAACCTTTCTCCCTCCTCTATATGACATCCTTTTATATATTTGAACATGGCTATCATATCACCCCTTAACCTCCTCTTCTCCAGGCTAAACATGCCCAGCTCCCTTAGCCGTTCCTCATAAGGCATCGTTTCCAGGCCTTTGACCATTTTGGTTGCCCTCCTCTGGACACGGTCCAGTTTGTCAGTGTCCTTCTTGAACTGTGATGCCCAGAACTGGACACAGTACTCCAGGTGAGGTCTGACCAGAGCAGAATACAGTGGCACTATTACTTCCCTTGATCTAGATGCTATACTCCTATTGATGCAGCCCAGAATTGCATTGGCTTTTTTAGCTGCCGCGTCACACTGTTGGCTCATGTCAAGTTTGTGGTCAACCAAGACTCCTAGATCCTTTTCACATGTACTGCTCTCAAGCCAGGTGTCGCCCATCTTGTATTTGTGCCTCTCATTTTTTTTGCCCAAGTGCAATACTTTACATTTCTCCCTGTTAAAGTTCATCTTGTTTGTTTTGGCCCAGTTCTCTAATCTGTCAAGGTCGTTTTGAAGTGTGATCCTGTCCTCTGGGGTGTTAGCCACCCCTCCCAGTTTGGTGTCATCTGCAAATTTGATCAGGATGCCCTTGATCCAGGATGTATTAATTGAAATACATTCTAAAATCAATTCATTCTAAAATCAAATCAAAATCAAATGAATGGCAACCATTGGGCTAGAGTGCTATGAGGATTACAGAAGGAGAGGGTCAGACTGTGCCTTGGCCAAAGGCCTGGTGGAACAGCTCCGTCTTCAACACGGGGAACCAGGCAGAGGGCCTTCTCGGTGGTGGCACCCACCCTGTGGAACGCCCTCCCATCAGATGTCAAGGAGATAAACAACTATCTGACTTTTAGAAGACATCTGAATGCAGCCCTGTTTAGGGAAGTTTTTAATGTTTGACATTTTATTGTGTTTTTAATATTCTGTTGGGAGTCATCCAGAGTGGCTGGGGAAACCCAGCCAGATGGGCGGGGTGAAAATAATAAATTATTATTATATTAGTATTATAGAAGGGGAGACTGGTATTGCACTTCTGTAGTCCCATTAAGGAGGGATGCAGGTGGTGCTGTGGGTTAAACCACAGAGCCTAGGACTTGCCGATCAGAAGGTCAGCTGTTCGAATCCCCGTGACAGGGTGAGCTCCCATCGCTCGGTCCCTGCTCCTGCCAACCTAGAAGTTCGAAAGCATGTCAAAATGCAAGTAGATAAATAGGTACCGCTCCGGCGGGAAGGTAAACGGCATTTCCGTGCGCTGCTCTGGTTTGCCAGAAGCGGCTTAGTCATGCTGGCCACATGACCCAGAAGCTGTACGCCGGCTCCCTCGGCCAAGAAAGTGAGATGAGCGCCGCAACCCCAGAGTCGGCCACGACTGGACCTAATGGTCAGGGGTCCCTTTACCTTTGGTCCCATTAAGGATCTCGTTGGTCCCTGTGAGAAAAGGATGCTGGGCGAGACACACCCATTTGACCTGCTCCATCATCTTCTGTGTGCATTGAGGATTGCATTGCCTCTAACTCTGCACTTTTGTCCTCTTTGCAAGATGCCCGGAGTCTATTTTTGGTTTAGAATCTGGTGACTAATAATAAATAAATAAACGAGCTCTTCCACTTGGACCTTCCCTTTCAGCCCATGGACCAAGCTTCCCTGAAAAACAGCGATGTCCTCATCCTGACCGGCCTCACCCAAATTCCCACCGCAAATCCCGACGGCATGGTGGGAGAATTCTGCAGTAACCTTGGTAAGGTGGCCGTGGGAATGGGTGTGTGTGTGTGTGTGTGTGTGTGGCATCGATGGCCGTGTTGTTGCTGGTTGGGTTGGGTTGGGTTGGGGTTCTTTTGCCTCTGCTTGCTTTATAATCTGACTCATAACCCCATGTGGGAAATTGCTACGAGATTCCCGGAACAGAAGTAACTGCTTGACTCCCTCTCTCCCTCTCCCTGGCATAAAACTAGCAGTTGAGATTTTTTTACGATGTGCCTTTGCCTCCCTCATTAATACAGTAAGTGCTTTTGAGAGATGCAAGTTGTACCTTATGGAAGGCGGCTGGAGACGACACCCAGTCTTGGAACGGAACAGGCATAATGAGATTGAATCGCCCGCTCCCCTTGGCTCGCTAAGTGGGCGGCTTCGTTGCCAGCGGTTTGTGTTTTGACACAGTCGACAGGTGGCCCTGCCGCTTCCTGGCTGCCTCTCGGCCAGTTTAACATCTTCGCGTCTGCTTTGTTAAAAGTCGGCCTCCCGTTTCTCGAAAGGCGCAGTCGTCGCCAGCACCTGGTGACCCAAAAGCCTGTGCAAGGCGGAGGCAGTGTAGCCCGCAAGCTTGGTCTGGCCTTACATAGAACCATAGAATGGTAGAGTTGGAAGGGACACCAGCGGTCATCTAGTCCAACCCCCTGCAATGCAGGAATAAATGGCCAGCTGATTCCATGTAGCTGCTACTGACAACCAAGCCGAAAATGGTGGTTGTCAGGACAGTGACAGGGATTGGCCTAAGTGATCCTTTGGGTCCCCTTCCAGCTCTACATTCCATGAAGACCCTAACCTTCCCCTTGGCACTGACCTTGTCCAGGATCTCTGCATGAAGTTAGAATCAGTCCTGGGCTCCCCTCCCTAGATCCAAGCTGGGAGCAAGAGAGCTCAGTAGCAGAGTGCAAGCTTTGCATGCAGAATCTCTGGTGTCAATAGATGGATTCAATCTATGGTGTAGCTATTAACACTGTGCAGCTTGAAATGATTGGATGCATATAAACTGACTCCTCTTGGAATAAAAATGGTCTAGGCCCATTTGTTTGATGCAAAACTTCACTTGCAGAGCTTTCCTCGAAACAGAACCAAAAAAACCCACACCCAGTAAATGATAAATTTACACCATAAATATATTGTGGTGTTCGGCACAGGCTCATCACATTAGAATAATAATAATAATAATAATAAATTTTATTTATATCCCGCCCTCCCCAGCCGAAGCTGGGCTCAGGGCGGCTAACAACAATCAAAATAATCCGACATTCTAAAACATTCATTATAGAATTAATTAAATCAAATTAAAATCAAATTAATGGCAACCATCAAGCCAAATTCTGTGCAGATTGCCGATTGCCAGAGGAGGGGGTCAGGCTGCACCCTGACCAAAGGCCTGGTGGAACAGCTCTGTCTTGCAGGCCCTGCGGAAGGATGTCAGGTCCTGCAGGGCCCTAGTCTCTTGTGACAGAGTGTTCCACCAGATTGGAGCCGCGACCGAGAAGGCCCTGGCCTTCCAAACAGACCTAAAAGCATAGTTCTCTATCTTCCTTCAGTCTCCATTTTGCCTAGATCTGTATTGACTCCCTTCAGGAGAGTCTCAGAGCCTGAGAACAAAAAGCCAAAGCCACCAGCCTTTCAAGGTGGCCAGTTTGCCACTCAATAGCCTCTCATGTGATCTAAGGTTAAACACACACGGCTTAGCTAGCAGAAAGCTCTTAGTATACCGCTGTGGAATTTCCCCATGTTAAACCTTTTCAGCAATACACACAGGCGTTCTCCATTTCATGGTCAATTAAACAATTATACTTGACTAGGAAAGGCTAGGAAAGACTCCCTGGCTAAAACTCCTGCCAGTCAGGGAAGACCCATTGGCCTGCCTCTGTATAAGGTACTTTTCTTCCCTAAAATAACATCAAGGCCTCGATGGCTTTAAAATTGGATTAGACCCACTCATGAAGGAGGAGAGGACTTTTGATGGCTACTAGCCACAATCGGAGGCTTCTGAATACCAGGTTCACTGAATCCTGCTTCAATGGCTTTGAGCACTCTTGGGTATTTTGTTGGATTGTGACCCTCGGCTTTTTATCAGGCTGCTATTATAAGGTAAGGTAAAAGGGACGCAGGGGGCGCTGTGGTCTAAACCACTGAGCCTCTTGGGCTTGCCGATCAGAAGGTTGGCAGTTTGAATCCCTGCGACAGGGTGAGCTCCTGTTGTTCGGTCCCTGCTCCTGCCAACCTAGCAGTTCGAAAGCACGTCAAGTGCAAGTAGATAAATAGGTACCTCTCTGGCGGGAAGGTAAACGGGATTTCTATGCTCTCTGGCATTCATCATGATGTCCCGTTGCGCCAGAAGTGGTTTAGTCAGGCTGGCCGCATGACCCAGAAAGCTGTGGACAAACGCTGGCTTCCTCGGCCTGAATTGACTTTGACTGGACCTAACCATCCAGGGGTCCTTTACCTTTATTATAAACAGGCATGTTGTCTTTTAAGCTTCGGGTTTTTTTTTTTTGTATTTTGTATTTCCCCGGATGGCTTTAAGTGCTGTCCCAAGTTTTTCTGGTCCAAATTGGATTTCTCCCGTTTAAATTGAGACTTTTATTTAAGTTAATAGTTTTTATTATTATTATTTTGGACCCTTGTCCCTCTTTGCATATAGCAGAGGTTTTCAGCCTTTTGGGGTCCACAGCTCCCTTGACCAACTGCATTCTTTCTGCGGCACCCCCCTGGGGGGTTCAGGAGCCTAGTTATGTCACCCCTTGCCTGCTGAGCCAGCAGCTCCTCACCCTTTTTCGAACACCCTCCCTTGTGGAGGGTTCCCTCAGCCTCCTCTCTTCTGGGCAAATTCAGCTGCCGCCCCTGGTCTCTGAGCGGTTCCACCCCAAAGTGAGGTGCATCATCACACTGCCCCACAGGTGCCGGGGAAGCACCCCCTAGCCAGCCCCAGCGCCACCATTTGCCTGTGGAGCTTGTAGCCAGGGTTGCTGCAACAAACAGCTGTGTAATAATAATAATAATAATAATAATAATAATAATTTATCATTTATACCCCGCTCATCTGGCTGGACTTCCCCAGCCACTCTGGGTGGCTTCCAACAGAATATTAAAATGCAATAACCTATTAAACATTAAAAGCTTCCCTGAACAGGGCTGCCTTCAGATGCCTTCTAAAAGTTCGGTAGTTGTTGTTCTCTTTGACATCTGGCTGGGAGGGCATTCCACAGGGCAGGTGCCACTACCGAGAAGGCCCTCTGCCTGGTTCCCTGTAACTTGGCTTCTCGCAGTGAGGGAACCGCCAGAAGGCCCTCAGAACTGGACCTCAGTGTCTGGGTAGAACAATGGGGGTGGAGGCGTTCCTTCAGATATACTGGACTGAGGCCGTTTAGGGCTTTAAAGGTCAACACCAACACTTTGAATTGTGCTCGGAAACGTACTGGGAGCCAATGTAGGTCTTTCAAGACCGGTGTTATGTGGTCCCGGTGGCCGCTCCCAGTCACCAGTCTAGCTGCCACATTCTGGATTAGTTGCAGTTTCTGGGACACCTTCAAAGGTTGTCCCACGTAGAGTGCATTGCAGTAGTCTAAGCGGGAGATAACCAGAGCATGCATCACTCTGGCAAGACAGTCCACGGGCAGGTAGGGTCTCATCCTGCATACCAGATGGAGCTCAGCTGCCCTGGACACAGAGTTGACCTGCGCCTCCATGGACAGCTGTGAGTCCAAAATGACTCCCAGGCTGCACACCTGGTCCTTCAGGGGCACAGTTACCCCATTCAGGACCAGGGAGTCCTCCACACCCACCCGCCTCCTGTCCCCCCAAAACAGTACTTCTGTCTTGTCAGGATTCAACCTCAATCTGTGCAAGCCTTGGGGAGGCAGAGACATGAGAGGGCACCAGAGGAGGGAGGGAAGGAAAGAGGGACGGAGGCCAGTTTTGCCCACGACCCCCCTGGCCATCATTCAAGGCACCCCAGGGTGCCACGGCACACTGGTTGAAAACCACTGGCATATAATAATTGTATTCCCTGCCGATTGTCGTGGACTTTGGCGAAGACAATAAAATGCACAGCACAGAAAAAGGGGTGTTCTGGCCTCAGCCAATGTAACTAAACCCAAAAGACGTAAGTAGGTTCAGAAGCTTAAACATACTAAAGGAAGATGATGTACAATTTTAATCCAGCGTCAAAAGATGAAAATGTAATCAAAGCAGATGAAATTACAAAGATGGCACAATAACAAATTGACTTTGCTATTTGGGTCAAAGCCTGATCCAACTCTCCATATCGACCGATAGATGACTACAAAATTTGTCAGAGGCCACCAGTCAAAATAGATCAGATTACAAATACGATATAATAACAAATAGACTTGCCAAAGCATGATCAAAATCCTTATATGACTAATAGATGACTACAAAATTTGCCAAAGGCCCGATACGCTTCGACCCAATTGGTCAGGAGAAAATTATTAAACGCAACTTGGTCGGAGTTAGTCTGTCAAGACCTTAAAGTGACCATATATCCCTTTAATTTACATCTACAAAATGAATCTCTCTCTCTCTCTCTCTTTGATGGTTTATAGAGAAACATAGCAACAGCTGCTATTACATATTTAGAATTAACTAGCAAATTAATTTTCACCATCGGAAAAGCTGTTAATTGTTCAGCTGTATGATGTCGTGGGTGCGAACAGCATCAATTAGCATCCTGCTCAAAATGTGCCTTGGAAGGGCAAGGCTATCAGTGGCTGTCTGTAATGGCTACGTTCTCCCCCCACTGTCAGAGGGTTGTGGGTTTGAGCCCCACATTGGACAAGAAATTCCTGCATTGCCTGGGGTTGGACTAGATGACCCTCGTGGCCCCTTCCAATTCTGTGACGGGAAGCTGAGAACAAAGTTTCCTGGGTGCTGAATTCCTTGCAACGTCATTTCCGACCCTGGAACCCCTTGAGAGGGTACCGTATTTTTCGCTCTATAGGACGCACCGGACCATAGGAGGGGGAGAACGGGGGGGGGGATTCTCCCCCTCTCTGCTCAGCGCCCCTTCAGCTAAGCGGCAGGAGAAACGGAGCCCCTTCCATTTCTCCTCCTGCTTCACCGGAGGGGCGCTGCGCAGAGAGGGAAAACTGTGCAACGCCTCTCCAGCGAAGCGAAGCCTGGAGAGCAAGAGGGATCAGTGTGCACCGACCCCTCTCGCTCTTCAGGCGGCTATCCGCAAGCCTTCGGAGCTCAGCGGGAACTCCTGCTATGCTCCGAAGGCTTGCGGATAGCTGCCTGAAGCCCCCGGAGCACAGTGGGAGTTCCCGCTGCGCTCCGGGGGCTTCAGGCGGCTTCAGCAAAAGCAGCGCAAAGCCTCTGGAGCACGGGGGGAGCTCTTCCTCTGCGCTTCGGAGGCTTCGCGTTGCTATCGCTGAAGCCAAGGAGCCTGCATTCGCTCCATAGGACGCACACACATTTGCCCTTCATTTTTGGAGGGGAAAAAGTGTGCCCTATAGAGCGAAAAAGGGACGCGGGTGGCGCTGTGGGTAAAAGCCTCAGCGCCTAGGGCTTGCCGATCGAAAGGTCGGCGGTTCGAATCCCCCGGCGGGGTGCGCTCCCGCTGTTCGGTCCCAGCGAGTTCAAAAGCACCCCCGGGTGCAAGTAGATAAATAGGGACCGCTAACCAGCGGGAAGGTAAACGGCGTTCCATGTGCTGCGCTGGCTCGCCAGATGCAGCTTTGTCACACTGGCCACGTGACCCGCAAGTGTCTTCGGACAGCGGTGGCCCCTGGCCTCTTGAGTGAGATGAGCGCACAACCCTAGAGTCTGGCAAGACTGGCCCGTACGGACAGGGGTACCTTTACCTTTACCTTATAGAGCGAAAAATACGGTATATTTGTGCTTCCTTGGCTATTTAATGCACACTGCGTGACTTGGCTCACTTCCTCGAGTCGTCTGTTGGCATTCTGGCGGTGGCACTGTTGTCGTCTGGATTATATCGTTTGCTGGAAAGGGCCTTGTAAGCGCACACCTCAGAGCCAGGGTTTAGACAATGTGGTGCCCACCAGGTGTTGCTGGACTCCCTTCAGCCACACCTGGCATGACCCAGTGTTCAGGAGTGCTGGGAATTGTAGTTCAGGAACAACTGCAGCTCACCGCCCTGGCTACAGAGCCTTAGAAGAACAGAGCATTTTCTGCCGGTTTTTCCTCCGTGGTTCTCAGGATCTGCCTCCGTGCCCAGCTGAGTATCAGAACTTTATTTTTCTCCCCAAGGGGTAGACATGAGATGTTTCTTGCTTCTCTTGCTTTAGCTGCCAGAGCTGTAAAAGCTCCCAACTTGCAATTTTTTTTCACGTTTTGGAGCTCTTCTGCCCTCTTCAGGAAAAGGATGTGACTACATTGGAACCTTGATGGCAGAAAGTGAGGAGGAATTAAAGAACCTTGTAATGAGGGTAAAAAGGAGAGCGCAAAATATGGTCTGAAGCTCAAAAAAACGAAGATCATGGCCACTGGTCCCATCACCTCCTGGCAAATAGAAGGGGAAGAAATGGAGGCAGTGAGAGATTTTGCTTTCTTGGGCTCCATGATCACTGCAGATGGTGACAGCAGTCACGAAATTAAAAGACGCCTGCTCCTTGGGAGAAAAGCAATGACAAACCTAGACAGCACCTTAAAAAGCAGAGACGTCACCTTGCCAACAAAGGTCCGTATAGTTAAAGCCATGGTTTTCCCAGTAGTGATGTATGGAAGTGAGAGCTGGACCATCAAGAAGGCTGATTGCCGAAGAATGGATGCTTTTGGATTTTGGTGCTAGAGGAGACTCTTGATCATGGACTGCAAGAAGATCCAACCTCTCCATTCTGAAGGAAATCAGCCCTGAGTGCTCACTGGAAGGACAGATCCTGAAGCCGAGGCTCCAAGACTTTGGCCACCTCAAGAGAAGAGAAGACTCCCTGGAAAAGACCCTGATGCTGGGAAAGATGGAGGGCACAAGGAGAAGGGGACGACAGAGGACGAGATGGTGGGACAGTGTTCTCGAAGCTACCAGCATGAGTTTGACCAAACTGCGGGAGACAGTGGAAGACAGGAGTGCCTGGCGTGCTCTGGTCCAGGGGGTCACGAAGAGTCGGACACGACTAAACAACAACAACACATTGGAACAGACCAGATGAGCATTTTCAAATATCTTAAAGGCCGTCACATGGAAGAGGGAACATGTTTGTTTTCTCTTGCTCTGGAGAGTAGGACTCGAACCAATGGATTCAAGCAACCTAAATCCATTTATTTATTTATTTATTTGTCCCCAGGCTTAGATGCAGTTTCCCCCCACCTTTTATTGAATTTCCAAATGCTTAATTTAAAGTGAGCAGGTGTTTTTTGTTTAAAGGACGATTGCAGCATTTTGAAAGACAGGGTTGCCAACTTGCCATACGACCGGGAATTCCTGGACCTGTCCTCTTTTGCAGGTCCTAAATACCCATCCAGTGTATTTTACATTTTAGAGCAAATGTCCTGGAGTTGGGGTTTAAAAAATAAAATAAAAAAGTGCTCAGGTTACTCTGGGTCAGGGGTCTGCAACCCGCGGCTCCGGAGCCGCATGTGGCTCTTTTACACCTTCGCCGCGGCTGCGGGGCGGATACTAGCGAGGGGAGGAGGCGCATTTTGCGCCCTGACACTCCCCACTGTGGCGGGCGCTGTACTGGCTGTGACGTCGCATGGGGGCGGTGCGTGCGTTAGTCACGCACCGTCCCGACGTCACCTTCCCGCCCGCTGTCAGATCGCGGCTCCGGAGATATATTTGTTTTAAATGTCACAATGGTTTTGCGGCTCCCAGTTTTTTTCCCCTTCGGAAACGGGTCCAAGTGGCTCTTTTTGTCTTAAAGGTTGCAGACCCCTGCTCTGGGTTCAGGCTCTGGCTCTGGCAATTTGGGCTCGGATTTTGTGTCCTCCTTTTTACCTCTTGAAATATGGCAACCCTAGGAAAAAGTCAAGGAAAAGGAATTGCAAATGAAGCAGCGAAGATCTCTGCCGCTGTGAATTCTCATTTGGAATTCTGTGTGCAGTTCTGGTCTCTCTCCATCTTGAAAAATGATCTAGTGAAAAAGTAAGGAAGGACCAGGATATTGAAAGCTGCCAGGGAATATGGAAACCAGTCCATTGCGAAGGCCGGCTAAGCGATGGCAGCAGTTTTGGACAATGGAGCAATTGGAAGCGCCTAGACGTGTAAACCTTGTTTTATTTTTCTTATTTTATTTTATTGGTGTTAGCTGCCCTGAGCCCTGCTCTGGCCGGGGAGGGCGGGGTATAAATAAAATAATAATCATCATCATCATCATCATCTTATTTATTAAAGGTAAAGGGACCCCTGACCATTAGGTCCAGTCGTGGCCAACTCTGGGGTTGTGGCGCTCATCTCGCTTTATTGGCCAAAGGAGCCGGCGTACAGCTTCCGGGTCATGTGGCCAGCATGACTAAGCCACTTCTGGTGAACCAGAGCAGCGCATGGAAACGCCATTTACCTTCCCGCCAGAGTGGTACCTATTTATCTACTTGCACTTTGATGTGCTTTCGAACTGCTAGGTGGGCAGGAGCAGGGACCGAGCAACGGGAGCTCACCCCATCGCGGGGATTCGAACTGCCGACCTTCTGATCGGCAAGTCCTAGGCTCTGTGGTTTTAACGCACAGCGCCACCCGCGTCCCTTATTTATTTATTAAGTTTTACTTATTAAACTCACCTCTGAATGCTGCCTGCAACTGTAAGCATTCCATGCAGGAGTTTGGCTTATTAATATGAAGGCCAACGGGAAGATGTCCCAAAGCTGGCAATATTGTTAAAAAATATCAATAAACCACCCCCCCTTTTTATATTTTATTTATTTATTTATACTTTTCAAGTTTATACGTTTCACTAGTGTTATACATTTCACTAATTTTACATTCATTTTTACTTCCACCCCCCTCTTTCTGCGGTTCCTTAAATCTTCTGCATATCCTAACTAACATAATTTGCTCATTTATTCATCTTCTTTAAATATATGACCTTATAAAAGTGCAGGTTGTGACAGTAATCTTTCCAATGTTTATATCTGTTTAAAATTTATCTGTAAATATTCAATAAACCATTTCCATTATTTTATTTAATGGAAAGTTTTGCCATTTCTGCATATTCCATAAGTTTTTACAAAGGTAATTTTAAACATCCTCTTCATTTCATCATATATCATTTCCCATTTTTTAAAGAAATAAGATATGAGTTTGTCGGGGGGGGGGCAACATAGACAATGGGGCAGGGGATATTATAGAGCAGCCTTCACCAACCTGGTGCTTTCCAGATGTTTTGAACTACAACTCCCATCATCCCCAGTGAGCATAGTGTACAATATGCTTTTTTGGTTAAAAAAATGGAGAAGTGCCAGTACTCTGAACCATTGAGCGCCATTAAAAAAGAAAACTGAATAGTTATTCAGGTCCACGTACCTACGGGACCGCCTCTCCTGGTATCTCCCCCGGAGGACCTTAAGGTCCACAAATGACAACACTTTGAAGGTCCCAAGTCACAAGGTGGTTAGATTGGTCTCAACTAGGGCCAGGGCCTTTTCAGTACTGGCCCCGACTTGGTGGAACGCTCTGTCACAAGAGACCAGGGCCCTGCGGGACTTGACATCTTTCCACAGGGCCTGCAAGACAGAGCTGTTCCGCCTGGCCTTTGGTTTGGACTCAGTCTGACACTTATGTTTCCCTCCCCTTACGGTTTTGATCTATGAGCTACTTTTAAAATGAGACTGCATTTTAAATTGCATTTTAACCCGTATTTTAAATTGGTTTTTGTTTTTTGTCTCCCCCCCCCATTATGTTTTACTGTGATTTTATTGGTGTTAGCCGCCCTAAGCCCGGCTCTGGCCGGGGAGGGCGGGGTATAAATAAAAATTATTATTATTATTATTATCATCTCTTCCCTATTCACTAACTCAAAAACATGTCCTTGCTCTTTGTTAAGCTTTGACCGTCCGGAACGGGGGGAACGTCCTGGTCCCCTGCTACCCGTCTGGCGTGATCTACGACCTTCTTGAATGCCTGTACCAGTACATTGACTCTGCCGGCCTCTCCAACGTCCCCTTCTACTTCATCTCGCCAGTGGCAAACAGCTCCCTCGAGTTCTCCCAGATCTTTGCCGAGTGGTAAGTATTGGCAGCAAAGAGGTACCCCATGGCTGGGTGGAGGGGTACCTCCGACACAGAAAGAAAGAGGGTGGGAGAGCAAAGCTACTACAGTGGTACCTTGGTTCTCAAACTTAATCCATTCCAGAAGTCCGTTCCTAAACCAAGTTGCACTTTCCCATAGAAAGTGCAGTGGACACTCAGGTTGCGAAGGTGATAATAATAATAATTTATTATTTATACCCCGCCCATCTGGCTGGGTTTCCCCAGCCACTCTGGGTGGCTTCCAACAAAACACTAAAATACAATAACCTATTAAACCTTAAAGGGACGCGGGTGGCGCTGTGGGTAAAACCTCAGCACCTAGGACTTGCTGATCGCATGGTCGGCGGTTTGAATCCCCGCGGCGGGGTGCGCTCCCGTCATTCGGTCCCAGCGCCTGCCGACCTAGCAGTTCGAAAGCACCCCCACGTGCAAGTAGATAAATAGGGGCCGCTTACCAGCGGGAAGGTAAACGGCGTTCCGTGTGCTGCGCTGGCTCGCCAGATGCAGCTTGTCACGCTGGCCACGTGACCCGGAAGTGTCTGCGGACAGCGCTGGCTCCCGGCCTATAGAGTGAGATGAGCGCACAACCCTAGAGTCTGTCAAGACTGGCCCATACGGGCAGGGGTACCTTTACCTTACCTATTAAACCTTAAAAGCTTCCCTAAACAGGGCTGCCTTCAGATGTCTTCTAAAAGTTTGGTATTTATTTTTCTCTTTGACATCTGATGGGAGGGCGTTCCACAGGGCGGGTGCCACCACCAAGAAGGCCCTCTGCCTGGTTCCCTGTAACTTGGCTTCTCGTAGTGAGGGAACCACCAGTGATCCGTAGTGATCCGTGTGGGAGGCACATTCGCAACTTGGAGCGCTGCATCTGCACACGCGCAGGTTGCAATTTGGCGCTTCTGCGCATGTGCAAAGCGTGATTTAGCGCTTCTGGACATGCGCAACCGCCAAAACCCGGAAGTAACCCATTCTGGTACTTCCGGGTTTCGGCGCGTCTGTAACCTGAAAAAACGCAACCTGAAGCATCTGTAACCCGAGGTATGACTGTGATGCAAAATGGATTAATCCGTTCCAGACTTTTAAAAGCAACCCCTAAAACAGCAATTTAACATGAATTTTGCTGTCTAACGAGACCATTGATCCATAAAAAGAAAGCAATAATCAATGTACTGCAGTCACACAATCAGTCAATCAGTAGCTGAACTGGGTTCCACACAGTCACACGAAAAAGAGGCACAAAAATGCAAAATAGCGAAAAAAGACAGACCTCAGCGTAACACTCAAAACGGAAGTGTGGCACTCAAGTCGGAAGTGTAACACTCAAAAGGGAGCATGTTCGGCTTCCAGAAAATGTTCGCAAGCCAGAACACTTACTTCCGCGTTTGCAGCGTTTTGGTTCTAAGTTGTTTGAGTACCAAGGCGTTTGAGAACCAAGGTACCACTGTATTTCTGAAAAATGCTCTTTTATAGATGCTTTTTTTAATAGGATAGGGCAGTGGTTTTCGACCAGTATGCCGTGACACCCTGGGGTGCCCTTGAATGATGCTCAGTGGTGCTGCGGACAACACCGGCCTCTGTCCCTCTTTCCTTCCCTCCCTCCTCTGATGAACCTCTCGCTTCTCTGCCTCCCAAAGGGTTGTGTGGCTGTTTGTTGCAGCAGCTCTGCAGGCGAATGGTGCCTCGGGGGCTGTCCAGGGGGTGCTGGGTGCCAGGAATAGAGGCCGCCTTTGCGCATCCGCCCCAGTGCATCCCCTGCGATTGTGAATATGCTGACCCATGCCCCCTTTGGAATCTGCAAGTAGACCATATGCCCCCCCCCCTGTCTGGGCCTGCTCCTCAGCTCCTCAGGGGGGGCCGCAGAAAGAATGCAGTTGGTTAAGGGAACCGTGGACTCAAAAAAGTTGAAAACCTCTGGGATAGGGGGAACTGGGGTTGAGTTTATGGGACTAAAGGAGGGTGGTCCCCAAAAGTTTGGGAACTGCTGGGCTGGACGATGCTGCCAGCTGTCAGCACAAAACTTCTCTGCTTGTTTGGGAGATTTGAGCAGTAGGTGGCAGTGCTGAACTGCAATGGGTTGTCAGGTGGGTTTGTAAATCTGGCTTGTTTTTCTCTCTGTTTTTCTCTTTCTCTCTCTCCCTGCCACCTTTCAGGCTGTGTCACAATAAGCAGACGAAGGTGTACCTGCCAGAGCCACCCTTCCCTCATGCGGAGGTAAGAGAATTGCCCTGCCCACCTGATCCCGTCTCACGCACAGGAGGGTGGGTGGAAGGAACGAAGGAGGAATTCCAGCCAGTTTGCATTTACAGTGGACGCTCGGGTTGTGAACATGATCCGTGCGGGATGCACGTTCGCAACCTGCAGCTGCGCGTCTGCGCATGCGCGACCGCTGAAACCTGGAAGTAACCTGTTCCAGTACTTCCGGGTTTCAGCAGTCCGTAACCTCTCCATTCTGAAGGAAATCAGCCCTGAGTGCTCACTGGAAGGACAGATCGTGAAGCTGAGGCTCCAAGACTTTGGCCACCTCATGAGAAGAGAAGACTCCCTGGAAAAGACCCTGATGTTGGGAAAGGCGGAGGGCACAAGCAGAAGGGGACGACAGAGGATGAGATGGTTGGACAGTGTTCTCGAAGCTACTAGCATGAGTTTGACCAAACTGCGGGAGGCAGTGGAGGACAGGAGTGCCTGGCGTGCTCTGGTCCAGGGGGTCACAAAGAGTCGGACACGACTAAACGACTAAACAACAACAACCCCAAAAAATGCAACCTGAAGTGTCTGTAACCCGAGGTATGACTGTAAAGGGCTTTCCAAAACAGTACGAGACTAGAACATGGCCCTCTTTCAGAATTCACACTTCCCCAAATTTTGCAGTACGCTCCTCCAGCCAGCATCTGCCGGTGTAAAGCGTGCATAAAAAGGCATATGATAGTGAAACGCATTTTAGGGGAAATTGCTTTTCAAAGATACGTAGTTCTGCAGAATTTCAGGAACTTACAGAAATGTCTTCCTCCCTTAAAATAATAAAAAAGTTTAGCTAAGAGTCTCCAGGTGCAGAAAAAGTTCTCTGCCAATTGTCGCATTTTAAGGATTCACCATTCAGTTGCAGGGGACTCTGTCGTTACTGAGAAGCTTCTGTGGCTCTTTCTGATTATGCTATTTGACGCCTCTCAGAGGGATGTGGCTGAAACGTCATAACTTGGCAGTGGTTCGGTCCCTGCATTTTCTTTCTTTTTCTTTCTTTTTGCAGTTCTCCACATGTAGCTAATTTGGGGGTTATTTCGAGTCCCCAGATATGAAAGGGCCAGTACTGCCTCCTCTCATGTTCAAACCCATAAGTGCTAATATAGGCTTGCCAGATTTCAAGAAGTAAAAACCCTAGCATGGAAAATGGCCTTTTCCCCTCCCACCAAGGGCAGCCAGAGGGAGCAAGGGACATGAATTCAACCCACAGAGCACCTGCTTCCTTATCGATCTTCAAAAGGAGGTTAGAAATTTCTGGGTGTGAAGACCCACACAAAATGAATTGCCTATGTATTTTGGCCTTGCCAAAGACGGCATCCTAGATTTCTCTGATTTACAGCCTTGCTCATTGACCTTCCAAATGCTGCAAACGAGGGACAAAAGTTGTTTTTATCGCCACCAGTTTAATCACTGGTGAACGACTCTGGGGTTGCAGCGCTCATCTCGCTTTAAGGGCCGAGGGAGCCGGCATTTGTACGCAGACAGTTTTTCCGGGTCATGTGGCCAGCATGACTAAGCCGCTTCTGTATTTATCTACTTGCACTTTGACGTGCTTTCGAACTGCTAGGTTGGCAGGAGCTGGAACTGAGCAATGGGAGCTCACCCCGTCATGGGGATTCGAACAGCCGATCTTCCGATTGGAAGCCCAAGCAGCACAGTGGTTTAACCCACAGCGTCACCCTTGGGGCATAGGAATTCGTTTCTCCCCCCCCCAAAAAAATATATAGTTCAGGCCCCCCACAAGGTCTGAGGGACAGTAGACCGACCCTCTGCTGAAAACGTTTGCTGACTCCTGGTCTAGATGACCCTCAGGGTCCCTTTCAACAATTCTATGATTTTAATAACACTTTTGAGATTACCGTATTTTTTGCCCTATAGGACGCACCGTCCCATAAGGCGCACCTAGTTTTTTGGGGGGGAAATAAAGGGGGGGAAATTATTTTCCCCCCAGGCACGGGGCTGGGGCGGGGGAAGCTCGAGCTTCTCCCGACCCCAGCCCCCAAACAGGCAGCTCTCTGCAAGCCGTGGGAGCGCTCCCGCTGCTTGCTGAGAGGTGCGCGAAGCCTGGACACGCTGAGCTGAGCGCGCACAGGCTTCAGCATGCAGGCAACTCTTGCGGAGAGGTGTGCGAAGCCTGGAGAGCATGAGGGGTCGGTGCACACCGACCCCTCTCGCTCTCCAGGCTCCAGCGAAAGCCTGCATTCACCCCATAGGACGCACACACATTTCCCCTTCATTTTTGGAGGGGGAAAAGTGCGTCCTATAGGGCGAAAAATACGGTATATGCCTTTTATTCGGCGTGTTTTGAGGTGAGGCTTCCTTTCAGGCGAGTCAAGTCCAACCAGCAGACTCACCCAGGCCACCTTTGGTGGAGGAAGAGCTATCGAAACCTGCTACAGAAATCTCATCCTTCCATTACTAATCCACAGGCAAATCTGACGGCATTTATGGCATCTCACAAACCCCGCTTTCCTTGTTGTGGGAAATGCCCGCCAGCACCTCTGAGGCAGGTTCTGCTTCCTTCGGGTTGTCTCTGAAATTTCAATTGCTGCTTGCAGGGGTCTCTCTCTCCCTCTCCCTCTTTCTTTCTTTCTCTCTCGCTCTCCATGAAATCCACATTTTGAAGTATAATCCTCATCTAGCACGCCCTTCGCTGGGCCTCCGACTCCCGTTGCTGGAGGTAACGCTTAGATCTCGAAGAGCTGGCCTCGGCCGGCTCCAAGGAGAAATCTCTTCCATGCTTAATTACAGGCGCACTTGCAAGACGGAGGGCTTATTAACTCCCAGCGTGGCTCGCATGTGCGCATTTAGATTTCTCGCTAGGAAACGAGCGGTGGGTGGGGGCTGTTTTCTGAGCAGCCATCTTGTAGAAAGAGGAGGGCACGCCAAATAGCTCATGAGACTCCCACTCTTGGGGTTCTGGGTTCGAGCCCCACGTCAGGCAAAAAAAATTTCCTGCATTGCAGGGGGTTAGACTACATGACCCTCAAGGTCCCTTCCAGTGTTACGATTCCACGATTCCACGATTCTACGCTGGCCTCTCCGGTGGTTTCCACTGGCCCAGGAACCCAGCTGATAACTGTCAGATACCAGGGACGCGGGATCCTGCCTTGTATTGAGTCAGATCATTGGTCCACCCAGCTTAGTGTTAGCTAAGTTAAACTGTGGAACTCCCTGCCACCAACCTAGATGGCTTTAAAAGAGGATTAGACAAATCCATGGAGGAGGAGAAAAGGGCCACTGATGGCTAGTAGCTAGAGTTGTTGTTTGTGCTGTGAACAGCACAATTACCCAGAAAGTTTTATCATTCCCCCTTTTTTTTACTTTTTTATATAACTTTTATTAGTTTTTTAACTTATCATTTTCAACAGTAATTAAACATACTTTTACATCTCATTCAATTTTTTTGACTTCCATCAATCCTGCCTGAAAATTTTCCAATCCACCGTATTTTTCGCTCTATAAGACGCACCAGACGCACCTAGTTTTTGGAGGAAAACAAGAAAAAAAAAATTCTGAATCTCAGAAGCCAGAACAGCAAGAGGGATCGCTGCGCAGTGAAAGCAGCAATCCCTCTTGCTGTTCTGGCTTCTGGGATAGCTGCGCAGCCTGCATTCGCTCCATAAGACGCACACACATTTCCCCTTACTTTTTAGGAGGGAAAAGTGAGTCTTATAGAGCAAAAACTACGGTAATCTCTCAATATGCATTTCTTATCTTCCCTATTATATTTCAAACTCATAACCAATATCTCTATCTTTTTCTGCTTCGTAACACTTCGTATATTTCTCCTTACAAAACTTCTTGTAGTCCTACTAGCGTAATTTGCTGATTACAGTTGCTCTTCAAACAATTCATATACTTATTCCAATCTTCTGTAAATCTCTGGTCCCACAGGTTTCGTATCCTTCCTGTCATTTTGCCCAATTCTGCATAGTCCATTCATTTCGTCTGCCATTCTTCTTTCGTCGGAATTTCTTCTTGTTTCCATTTCTGGGCTCACAATACTCTTGCCACAGTTGTTGCATATAAAAACAATTTAACATCTTGCCTATTAATGTCCTGACCTATAATACCAAGTAAAAATGCTTCTGGTTTTTTTTTAAAAAAATGAAAGTTTTATCATTCCCACCAATATACATTACAGTGAAACCTTGGTTGTCGAACGAAACACATTCTGGAAGACCGTTCAACCTCCGAAACGTTTGACAACCGAGGCGCAAAGGGAGAATGTCAATTTCAGCGGTGAAAATCGGAGGGGGGGGGGGAGAATCACAGTGGAAGCCATTCAACTTCTGAGGCGCATTCAAAAATTGAATCATTTACTTCCGGGTTTTCGGCGTTCGGGTTCCAAAACGTTCGTCAACGGAGATGTTCGATAACCGAGGTTCCACTATATGATTATCGCTATAACCTTGGTTGCTAATAGATGAGCTTCCCTTGCAATCTGAAAGAGCGTTTTCACATTGATTGTAAAACTACTATTTTAAAGCTATCGAGACGAATCGTTCATTTGGATCGTCGCTTTATGCTTTGGAATGAATTAGCGCGCGGCTGTTTTTGCAGGGACGTATCGGCACGCGTTTTTGCCAGGACGCTTTGAACACATTTGCGTGCAAGAGAGGCATGCGAGCCGATTCCGTAGGTAGCGATAAATAACTTGCGTCGAGAGCGGTGCTCGGATGTCAATAAAGGAAGAACGCGGGAAAGGGAAAGGAGGTTTCTGACAGCCTCCCTTCTCTCCTTCCAGCTCATTCAGACCAACAAGCTCAAACATTACCCCAGCATCCACGGAGACTTCAGCAATGACTTCAAGCAGCCCTGCGTGGTCTTCACGGGACACCCCTCGCTCCGGTTTGGGGACGTGGTCCATTTCATGGAGCTGTGGGGGAAGTCCAGCCTTAACACCATTATATTTACAGGTAAGAGCCTGGCTGGGAGAGTGGAGTGCGGACTGACTCCAGCTACAAAAGCTGAGGCTGAAGAACAGATTCTTGGGCTGGAGTATTGTTTACGGGGGGTTGAGAGAGCTTGTTGCTGTTATTGATATTATTGTTGTATCTTTAGATAGATCTTATGGTTTACGTATAAATTGTTTCCGTTTGGTTGTTGTTTCCTCCAAACCGGAAGAGACCTGTGCTCTACGTGGGGCTACCTTTGAAGGTGACCCGGAAACTACAATTAATCCAGAATTTGGCAGCTAGACTGGTGACTGGGGGCGGCTGCCGAGACCACATAACACCGGTCTTGAAAGACCTACACTGGCTCCCAGTACGTTTCCGAGCACAATTCAAAGTGTTGGTGTTCACCTTTAAAGCCCTAAATGGCTTTTGTCCAGTGTACCTGAAGGAGCGTCTCCACCCCCATCGTTCTGCCCAGATGCTGAGGTCCAGCGCCGAGGGCCTTCTGGTGGTTCCCTCATTGCGAGAAGCAAAGCTACAGGGAACCAGGCAGAGGGCCTTCTCGGTGGTGGCACCCACCCTGTGGAATGCCCTCCCATCAGATGTCAAAGCGATAAACAACTACCTGACATTCAGAAGTCATCTTAAGGCAGCCCTGTTCAGGGAAGTTTTTAATGTGTGATATTTTTAGTGTGGAAGCTGCCCAGAGTGGCTGGGGAATAAATTATTATTATTATTATTTGCATGTGTTTTGTCTGAATCCCTCTCTCTCTCTCTTTCCATTTACAGAGCCCGACTTCTCCTATCTCGATGCCCTGGCCCCATACCAGCCGCTGGCTATGAAATGCGTTTACTGCCCCATCGACACCAGGCTCAACTTCATCCAGGTCTCCAAATTACTCAAAGAAGTCCAGGTACACCAGGCCAGACCTCTCTCCGCTTAACGGGCCTCGCTGCAGGGCCAAGCTGGGCAGTTCCCAATAAACCAAGGCTAGGCCCTTCCAGGGTCAGCGATGGTGGGACATGGCAGCATCTCAAAGGCCACAAGCTCCCCATTCCTGCCCCAAACACTTGGCCATTTCCAGAACACAGCAGCTGTGCGTTGTAGAATCATAAGAGTTGAACAGGGGGTGGAAGGTCACCTGGCCCAACCGCAGATTTGATGCAGGTGGCAGCCTCTGCCTGAAGATCTCCAGCCCAGGAGAGGCCACTTACCCTTCCTAGGCAATGGGTTCTATTGTTGAACCTATCTGACCGTCAACGTCAGAGCCGTCTTTCCCATAGGGCTTAGTGGTGCGTCGCGCCAGGGTGCCGGCCTCTCAGGGGCGCCCCAGTAATTGGGGGGGTTGCGCGGCTTTGCTGGCAGCCTCCCCTTTCCCTGCATGCCTGCCAGCTGCGCCCCACCAACCGTAAGGCTGGCGGGCGTGCAGCTTCCCTCCCAAGCCTCCTCGGGAGGAGAGCAATCCCCGCAAAGGCTTAGGATGGAAGCTGCGCCCCGCCAACCATAAGGCATGGGGGAAATTTATAACTTATCTTAAAGACCATTGTAAACAGTTAAAATTGCCACTAGGATTGGAATATCACTTCCCTTTAAGAGTGAATTCTGGACACAACGGAGATCTAAAAGATTTGGATTGTTCTAAAAGATGCAAGAGGAAATGATGAATAATCGGACCCACAAAGGAAAGGAGATTCCTTGGAATCTTGTTTTTATGATCTATGTTCGATATATGATGCAAAATTTTGATTTGAAAAACCAGATAAATAATTTTTATTTTTTTTAAAAGAAGAAAGAGATTCTTGTTTTGATACATGTAAACCGCCTTGTGATCTTTGGATGAAGGGCAACGTATAAAATAAATGTAATAAATTATAACAAGGCATCTACCACAGGGGCTTACGGATCAGGGCATGGATGTGGGTCTGTCCCTTGACTCTGTATTTTCCTCCCTCCCCTCCCCATGGCAGCCTCTCCACGTTGTTTGTCCGGAGCAGTACACCCAGCCCCCTCCCACCCAGGCCCACCGCACGGACTTGATGGTCGACTGTCTGCCCCCAGCCATGTCCTACCGCAGAGCCGAGGTGCTGACCCTCCCGTTCAAACGCCGCTACGAGAAGATTGAAATCACACCAGAGGTGAGTGAGTGAGTGAAGGCGAACCAAGATATGGAGTGGAGGTGTGTTGGGGGGATGGACTGTCAGGAACTGGAATGAAGAGGAGGGGGAATGGTGGAGATCGCCTCCCCCTTCTCCTGTAGCTGACAGGGAAGAGGGAGGCCGTGTAGAATTACAGCCAAACTATGAAGGAGATAGGGACGCGGGTGGTGCTGTGGGTTAAACCACAGAGCCTAGGACTTGCTGATCAGAAGGTCAGCGGTTTGAATCCCTGCGACGGGGTGAGCTCCCGTTGCTCGGCCCCAGCTCCTGCCAACCTAGCAGTTTGAAAGCACGTCCAAGTGCAAGTAGATAAATAGGTACCGCTCCAGCGGGAAGGTAAACAGTGTTTCCGTGCGCTGCTCTGCTTCGCCAGAAGCGGCTTAGTCATGCTGGCCACATGACCCAGAAGCTGCACGCCAGCTCCCTCGGCCAATAAAGCGAGATGAGCGCTGCAACCCCAGAGTCGGCCACGACTGGACCTAATGGTCAGGGGTCCCTTTACCTTTTAAGAGCTTTCTTGTTTCCTCCCTGCTTCTTGAAACCATCAGGGGTGGGGGGAGGGAGAGAATTCCTCAAGCCTGACTTGGACGTAGTGAGGAACCCAGGGGGCTGCCTTATCCCTTGGTTCCTCTAGCTCAGTGTTGTTCACACCGGCCGGCAGCAGCAGCAGCTTCTCTGGGATTTCAGGCAGGATTTGATCCCAGTCCCGAACCTGAGGATTGAACCTGGGGCCTTCTGCACGCAGAACAGGTGTTCTCGCCCTGAGCCACGGCTCCTCCTCAAACCTTTGGAAACCTGGGTCTTCACACCGACACAGGATTTCAGGCAGGACATTCCCAGACCTGCCTGGACATGCCAAGGATTGGGACCGCCTGCTTTAGTTCTTACAAGGACACAGGTTGGACTATCAATGGCCATTGGTGGCTCCTTCGAGCCGTATGATTCTGTGCCTACTCACTGGATCATCACCTTGTTGTGGTGAATGGGCCTGCACGTTCCTATGACCCTTGTGAGTGAAGAAGAAGCAAAGATCACCAGTGTCGAAGCGATGATTCTTCAACATCAACTTCATTGGACTGGTCATGTTGTGCGGATGCCTGATTATCGTCTTCCAAAGCAACTGCTCTATTCCAAACTAAAATATGGAAAGCGTAATGCCGGTGGTCAACAAAAGAGGCTGAAAGACTCTCTCAGAGCAAATCTTTAAAAAATGTAGTATAAACACCAACAACTGGGAAACACTGGCCTGCGAGCGCTCCAGTTGGAGAACAGCCTTTACCAAAGGTGTCATGGGCTTCAAAGGTACTCGAACTCAGGACGCAAGGGAGAAACGTGCTAAGAGGAAGGCACGCTTGGCAAATCCACACCAGGATCAACTCCCACCCGGAAACCAATGCCCCCACTGTGGAAGGATGTGTGGATCCAGAATTGGCCTCCACAGTCACTTACGGACTCATTGTTAAAACCGTGTTTATGGAAGACAGTCTTCCTCGGCTACGAGGGATCGCCAAAGAATACGATGATTGTATGATTTAAGCATCTCACGGCTTGCAAGAGAGCAGGTTCATCCCCACCCGGGTCCAAACCCCAATTGCTGCTTTTAGCTGAGCCCTCTGTATACATTTCTGGCAGCTGAGGCTAGTTTTGGTCCCAATCCTGGTGGCTTCATGTGACTTGCGTTCAAGGTGCTTGGAGGAGTCAGCTGCCACGTACTAGGCATTAGCCTAAAGAGGGAGCCATTTCTCTGTTTTGCCTGGCAACTGCACAGCCCACAAAAAATACATAGGATCCTGGTTGGAAGGGGCCCCTAGTTCACACACACCCCCCCCCAGAAACGCAGGAATCAGAGCTCAAGTATCCCTGACAGATGGACACCCAACGTCTGCTTGAAAAGCCCAGCACCTTCCCAGGTAGTTTGTTCCACCACTGAACGCCTCTTATCGCCAGAAAGTTCTTCCTAAGGTTTAGTCAGAATCTCCTTTCTTACAACTTGGTTTGGGTTTGCCCCTCCAGAGTAGCAGAAAAGAAGCTTGCTCCCTCTTCTTTGTGACAGCTCTTCAGATATCTGAAGATGGCCATCATTCCAGTACAGTGGTACCTTGGTTTTCAAACGCCTTGCTACTCAAACAGCTTGGAACCCAAACACTGCAAACCCGGAAGGAAGTGTTCCGGTTTGCGAACTTTTTTCGCAAGCTAAACGTGCTCCGTTTTGAGTGTCATGCTTCCAATTTGAGTGCCACACTTCCATTTGAGTGTTACGCTGAGGTCTGTCTGTTTTTGCTATTTATTTTGCCTTTTTGTTTTTGTGGCTGTGTGGAACCCAGTTCAGCTACTGATTGATTGATTGATTGATTGATTGATAGTGTGACTGCAGTACATTGCTTATTTCTTTCTTCTTTCATTTTATGGATCAGTATTAGATAGTAAAATTCATGTTAAATTGCTGTTTTAGGGGTTGCTTTTAAAAGTCTGGGACGCAGGTGGCGCTGTGGGTAAAACCTCAGCGCCTAGGACTTGCCGATCGCATGGTCGGCGGTTCGAATCCCCGTGGCGAGTCCGCTCCCGTCGTTCGGTCCCAGCGCCTGCCAACCTAGCAGTTCGAAAGCACCCCCAGGTGCAAGTAGATAAATAGGGACCGCTTACCAGCGGGAAGGTAAACGGCGTTCCGTGTGCTGCGCTGGCTCGCCAGATGCAGTTTGTCACGCTGGCCACGGGACCCGGAAGTGTCTGCGGACAGCGCTGGCTCCCGGCCTCTAGAGTGAGATGAGCGCACAACCCTAGAGTCTGTCAAGACTGGCCCGTACGGGCAGGGGTACCTTTACCTTTACCTTTAAAAGTCTGGAGCGGATTAATCCATTTTGCATTACTTTCTATGGGAAAGCGCGCCTTGGTTTTGGAACGCTTTGGTTTTGGAATGGACTTCCGGAACGGATTAAATTTGAGAACCAAGGTACCACTGTATTGCAATGATTCACAGTCTAGCCTTGTGTGATCTCGGAAGAATCCGATGGAATCCAGTTCATCCTCTGATCTAAAGCACCGCCTTCTTCCTTGCAAACAAACTTTGCACCACTTTAGAAAGAGAGCCCACAAGCTGAAACTGCTCCCCCCCCTTTTATTGCAGCTCAAAGTGGTGTCATTTAGCACAGGGTGTAAAAACGCAACGCAGAGCCCTGTGTGCAATTAACTAGCTTCCCTAACGAACGCAGGGCTTGCCCCCACTGCTGCATCTCCCCATCCAATTTAGAAGGGAGCGCCGATATGCTCATTTGAATTTAAAGAGCCCATTTGCCTGAATTGGAACTCTGAGTCCAGGAGCGTGTTTCTAATTGGGAAAATAATTGCCCCCCTTGCAGCAGACTCTCCATGTACTTAGCTGTTCTCGAAATGTGCTTATTTCTCTGGTCCCGTTAAGCCAAGAAGTCATACAATGAGGTGGCGGTTCTTATCGGTGATGGTGGGGGTTGCATTGAACAGTAAAAGTCAGCCCCGTCAGAGGGAGCCCACTGGGCTTATGAATGGGGTGGGCTGTACCCCCTGTGTTTACATTCCCAGTGGGAAGATTTTGGTTTGCTTGGGAAATTCTTGACGCCCATGGAAAATACCTATTCGTCCCAGTTTTGTATTTCTTTGACCGAATCAAAAAGTTGCTTGAGCAGATCCATTTCCACCAGGAAAATACACTACAAAACTTCTCTCAAAACCCCTGCTGTTAATGCCTTAAACATTAGAGAGAACTTTCTGACAGTCTTCTTCTCCTTTGGCAATCCCTCGTAGCCAAGTAAGATGGTATTCCATGAACATGCTCTTAACTGTGATGGTGGAGGCCAATTCTGGATCCACACGTCCTTCCACAGTGGGGACTTAGGTTTCCAGGTGGGAGTAAGCTCCTATTGCTCTGTCCCAACTCCTGCCTACCTAGCAGTTCGAAAGCATGCTAGTGCAAGTAGATAAATAGGTACCACTGCAGCGGGAAATTAAACGGCGTTTCCATGCTCTCTGGTTTCCGTCACAGTGTTCTGTTGCGCCAGAAGCGGATCAGTCCTGCTGGCCACATGACCCGGAAAGCTGTCTGCGGACAAATGCTGGCTGCCTCGGCCTGAAAGCGAGATGAGCGCTGCAACCCCATAGTCGCCTTTGACTGGATTTAACCATCCAGGGGTCCTTTACGTTTACCTACCTGATCCTTCCTCTTAGCGCGTTTCTCCCTTTCGTCCTGAGTTCGAGTGTCTTCAAAGCCCATGACACCTTTGGTAAAGGCTGTTCTCCCATTGGAGCGCTCGCAGGCCAGTGTTTCCCAATTGTCGGTGTTTATACTACTTTTTTAAAGATTTGCCTTGAGAGTCTTTAAACCTCTTTTGTTGACCACCAGCATTACGCTTCCCATTTTTAAGTTTCTGACAGACAGTGGAACAGTCTCCCTCCAGAGGTTGTGGACTCTCCCTCCTTGCAAGTTGGATAGCCATCTGTCAGGGATTCTTTAGCTGTGATTCCTGACTTGCAGGGGGTCAGACTGGATAGCCCCCTGGGGTCCCTCCCAGCCCTACGATTCTATGATTCCGTGAGTCAGACCAATTTCCCGCCCAGCTCAGTGGTTCCCAAGCCCGCTCAGTGACTCGAGCCGTTCAGATGTGAGTCGCGATACTCTCCCTGCCCATCCTTCAGTGCCAGACAAGCCGCCTGCCACCATCGTCCCCCTTGCCTGGCAAGTGCCTCCGCCCTTTCCGCTGTGTCCTTGGGAAATTAACTTCTACGGGTTAATGAAAGCTGCTCATCTAGGCAAAGGCACCTCCCTGCTTTATTCCTTAAACGTTTTCAAGTGCCCCTTGAGACTCATTACGGTCCCTGTAGCAGCAAAATGGCTCTAATGATGTCTGTGATGAAAGGCTTTTTAATAAAAAATTTAAAAGCCTCCGCTCGGCACACTCCCGCCCCCGAAAAGGAAAGGAGGGGGAGGACGGATCACGCTTGCCCATCTACCGCAGGCCGGATCCTCTGCTGTTCCCGCGTTCCTTCCAGGCCGCAGAATACAGAAGTTCCAGTTTGCCTTCGCTGGAACCTCTCTCTCCTTCTTCCTATTAATGGCAGACCCCAGTGCAGCGTTGCTCGGAAACATACTGGGAAGCCAACACAGAATAATTAACAACTCATCAGCGAAACAACTGCAATCCATAAGACTCCTTTAACAAAGCAACAGCTGAGAAATAGGCCGAGCGTCACAATTAAAGCAAAGGTCTTTTTTTTTAATTGCTTCATTGATTGTAAAAAAAGAGAAAAAAGTCAACAAGGGAAAAAAAATCAAAGGATAATACAAATTACAAAAAAAATAAGTTAATTTCTTACAACACAAGTTCTACTATGACTTCCAGTCACCCCATCAAGGGTCTTTTGAGTAGCGCACTTTTCATTATCACTCCATACTGCTCCCAAATTTTTATTTTGATATGGTTTTATATGTTCATGCAGGGGTCAGTCTAAGCCTGCCAGAGAATTCACATTTTTACAATGCCCTTTAAGATATTTTCTGTAAACTCTCTAATAAACGTTTCTTCTGTGTTATCTCTTAATTTTCCCCGTCATCCTTGCTCATTCTGTGTATTCTAATATATGACCTCAGGGTGGAGGGAAAGAAAGAAAGAAAGAAAGAAAGAAAGAAAGAAAGAAAGAAAAGAAAGAGGTGGCAGTTGTGCAAATAATCCCTTTTCGGAGGCTTCCAGGGTCCCTGCATGCTTTAAAAGTTGCATTCTGTGGGAGTAGTGTTGTGCATCCTACTGGTTTTCAGGAAAATCAAATTGCCTGATTGCACTTGAAGTGGCTAAATTTGCTCCTGTGTGTGTGTGTGTGTAAAGTGGCTCCATCTTTCTTTCTCCAGCTTGCAGATTCGCTGGTGCCCACCGAGATGAAGCCGGGGGTCTCCTTGGCGACCGTTACGGCTGTTTTGCACACAAAAGACAACAAACATGTGCTTCAGGTAGGGTGTGAATACTGGGGTGCTGGCAGGGGGAGGGTTTGGGTGGAAGGCCGCTCCCCGTGGCTCCGATCCCTGGGGTTTCCCAGTTAGTTAACCAGCAGTTGCACTCACCAAATCCCAGCAAAACCCCTGGGACAAAATGTTTCTCCTTTTTGTGTGTGCTGGGGTTCGCAAGAGAAGCTGAACCCCTTAATCAAAATCAATTCCGTTTTGGAACAAACAGCAGGCAGCCGAGAAGGATCCTGGGGCTCAAACCTATTAATTTTTATTGCTGTTTATTTGACTCGCATTTCTGTGCACACACACACGATAAACAGCTCAGAACTAAAGTAAGCTGAAAGTACCCCTCACCCCCTAAAAAATCTTCACAATTTAGAATTTATTAATTCTACCCCGCCCATCTTGGCGGGGTTCCCTCAGCCACTATGGACGGCTTCCAACAAAGTATTAAAATACAGTAGTCTGTTAAACATTAAAAGCTTCCCTAAACAGGGCTGCCTTCAGATGTCTTCTAAAAGTCTGGTAATTGTTCTTCTCTTTGCCATCTGGTGGGAGGGCATTCCACAGGGCAGGTGCCACTACCGAGAAGGCCCTCTGCCTGGTTCCCTGTAGCTTAGCTTTGCTTCTCGCAGCGAGGGAACTGCCAGAAGTGTCTGGGCAGAACGATGGGGGTGGAGACGCTCCTTCAGGTATACTGGACCGAGGCCGTTTAGGGCACAATTAAAGCGACAACTAATTAATGCACAATTAAATGCACAATTAAAGTGACAACATGGTTTTAAAGCAGAAGTCAATCCTTTTTTATGCATCAGACTTCCCCAACCGGGCACTCTCCATATGCTTCAACCATCTCTGAACAGTTTGCAGGAAAAAACCCATAAAACTGTACATCCATCTCCTTTGACAGCTCCCCCCCAAGCCTCCTCAGCCCCAAGGGGGCAAGAAGAGGAAGCGGGTGGCAGACGAAGTTCCGGAGCTGAAACCCGTCAAGCCTTTGCTGAGCGGCTCCATCCCCATGGACCAGCTGGTGCAGACCCTGGAGAAGGTAAGCAGCGGCTGCCTTCACGGCCAGAGCACTGGGGAGGCTGTTGGCACTCGTCCGCCTTGAGAGACAATGGAGTGCGCCTCTGGGGTGAGAGACAATGGAGTGCACCTCGGGGGGGTGAGAGACAATGGAGTGTGCCTCTGGGGGGTGAGAGACAATGGAGTGTGCCTCCAGGGGCGAGAGACAATGGAGTGCGCCTCGGGGGGTGAGAGACAATGGAGTGCGCCTCGGGGGGTGAGAGACAATGGAGTGCGCCTCTGGGGGTGAGAGACAATGGAGTGTGCCTCCAGGGGCGAGAGACAATGGAGTGCGCCTCCGGGGGGTGAGAGACAATGGAGTGCGCCTCTGGGGGCGAACTCAAACCTCTGTGCCAGCAGCACCGAAGGGACCTCCGTGGGATGCCAGCCTGATGGGCAGTGTGTCTGGAGGTCCTGGGCTGCTCGGACAACAAGACCCCCCTCTCAGCCTCACTGAGGTGGGCCAAAGGAAAGCAGAGCAGTGTGTTTGACACCAGCTTGGTGGCAGGAGTTGCAGGAAGGAGGCATACAAGGCTAAAAGCGGGAATATAGCTGTCCCCATCTGCAAGTTTCCATCAGGAGGAGCATAGGAAGAAGACGATGTCCTTCAGTTTGTTAAGATAAAACGTATTTGGGAAAGAAACTACTTTTGCCATTTATATGGACATTTAGTGTTGGTTTTTTTAGGCTTGGTGATATTATCTTGTGTTGATTGCAGCAGTCATTGTATCACCACCCTGTTCATTGTTTTATAAATATAATTCAGGAAAGGGGCGGCCGACGCCTGTACACCTTTGTTCATGCCGAGTTGTAGAACCGAAGAGTTGGACAGGGACCCAAAGGGACCCAACTCCCTGCAATGCAAATCCTCCCCCATTTGCCACATTGCCTCTGGTTTGCCAGCTGAGCATCTCCCCCTTCCCTTTTCCCTGTCCCTCTGCAGCACGGCTTCAGCGACGTGAAGGTGGAGGACACCCCGAAAGGCCACATCGTGCTCTTCCAGGACGTGGAGACCCTCATCCGCATCGAGGAGGACTCCACGCACATCATGTGCGAAAGCGACGAGGCGCTCCGGGTGAAGCTGCAGGACCTGGTCCTCAAATTCCTGCAGAAGTTCTGAGGCCTCGGCCTGCCTTAGAGTCCGGCCGTCCCGGTCCCCCCAGCAGGGTCAGAAAAAGGAAGGGGCTGCTGACCCGAGGGGAGAGGAGAGAGGCTCGTTTCACAATGGCAATAAATTGCACGGTTCTCCAGAGTGTGGCTGCCGGGGCTGCCGTGCCATTTTGAAAGCCAGGAATAATTAAACAGGCACAATTTTCGCACTATCGTGACACAACGATGGAGGCAGCTGTCCCACCCCAAATGCGGACATCACTGGGGCATTTTGTAGAATTCCAGCAGGCTGCTTAGCAGACCTCCATGGCCCCCGGTAGAAGTTTGGGGGGGGCAGGGGAGGAGACACAACTTTTTGTAAACAAATAAACAAACAGGATGTGCTCATAAACTGCGTTTCCTGTTCCATTCTCCGGAACATTTAACAGAACTCTTTTGGACTACAGCTCCCATCAGCCCCAGCCAGCAAGGGGGAGTTGTATACCAAAATACCTGGCAGGTACCAGCTTGGCAAAAGTTGAATTAAAGCATTTTCTCTCCCACGCCACCCCCCCTATTTTGGAAGGGAGCAGCCCCTATTATTTTTAAATGAAGTATTTTGCTTTAAGATTGTTTGTGACGATGCGTTTTCTCTGCCTGTCAGTTCTCCTTTGTGTTTTAATACTGATTGTTTACTCAAAGCAATGCTTTTTTTTTCTAAAATAAAACCGAGAGACCCGGTCATAGTTTATCCCTTTTTTATTAAAAGAGACCACCACCTTATTGTTGTGGGCTTCCAAGACTGCATTGGGCATCAGTCAAGGCTTTTCTTAAGGAGTGTGGTCAGATAACCAGCTCGCTGGTGTTTTGAATTAGTTGCAGGTCCTTTCTGGATCCTGTGTAGTATGTTCACGGGGAGGGGATTCCAAAGGGTTTGGGAGCCACAACAGGAATGGACCTCCTGATAAGATGGCGGTGCTGGCTCCTTTTCTCCTGGTCCTAGTCCAGCAGCCTCTTTGCACATCTGGGCTCGAAATGCATAATGAGCTCCCGCAACGAACGGAAAGAGAGACTATTAAGGAGAGAGCGGACCAGAGTGATTGGCGGCTGTGGGAATAGCCAAACCTCGAAGCCACCATCTCATCGGCCTGCCTTGCAAATGGTGACACCTGTCTGAGTCTTGTATTAATCGCCTGCCTAATAGCCTCCGATTTCCCTCTGCCTTATATATATTTACAATTTCTAATCACAGCCATATTTTACTGCAACCTGCTGTCAAGGCAGCAGCGATCCTTCACTGGTTGACTGCAGAAGTTTCGTTCTGTCGGTAATTGATGGCTTTTGCTTTCCACCACTTCCTTTCCTTCCTGGACGCCATTCATTATTAACTGCAGGGCAGAGAGAGAGAGAGAGAGAGAGAGAGAGGTGGGGAGGAATAATCCAATTACATTCCAAGTTTTAACAGGCTTATTCCAGAGGCCCGGGAATTCTGGATTTGTGCACGTTGGTGCTCATTAGCTCTCCCAAGCTCCCAGCTGCCACTTCTTTCAAAAAGCAAGGTGCTAGTCCACATGGAACTGAAGGCAATGGTAAAAATACGGAGACAGGTTTGTGCCTGCATGAGTGCTTCCCCCACAATCCATCCTTATGACCTGCTAGGATAGACATGGAAGCAAGAGGTAGGAAGATGTCAATCATAGTTCAGTAGTCTGGATCCAACATTTTTGCATGTCTGTGACTGGGGAGCACCGTCATCTTCCAACAGACAAAAAGATGGCAGTAAAACAAACAAAAAAGGAGTTTGTACTCTGACTCTAGTTTTACACTGTATGGGAAATGTGATTCCTCATCTCCTTTTTTAACATTTAAAAATTGTGCTGCACGTGCCAATATAGTTGATTATCTCATCACAAGTAGAGCTGGACCAGTTTTGCGACTAAGAGTAACTTACAACACCCCTGAAATGCAGCACAGTGTTAGTACTGCCAGCTATAGGTGGGGCTGGAGGCCGCTTTGCCTTTCCAGCCAATTTAATTTAATTCCACACACGAACACACATATCCCAGCCCAAATCCAGTGTTCAAGCAGCACAGACAAGTTGGGTATTCCAATATTTTAAAAGAGGAAATGCGTTACGTGCAAACTAAGAGCAGGCATTTGCACAGCTAGCAAACCGTTTCCCATAATTTGCAAGCCTGTGTTGCCCAAATACTGAGACTTGGGGGTTTGACAAGCTTAGGATGGTGGGGTGGGGTGGACCCTTAACCTGTCAGCTGCTGATCTCTGTGCCGGTGCCCTGCAAAGCGGGAGGGAGAAAGATTTGTGTCCCACCCCCTCGCCCTGTGCAACCCAGTTTGCATCGCAGCGCTGCAAGCCCCGCAGAGCGAGGCCGAAATCCCAGGCGTGGGAATTGCCTTTTCGGAGCCCAAGAAGAGATGCTGTTTATTCCTCGCTGCAGCCGGCGACACCGGTTCCACGTCCATCACATTTATGCTAAATTGAAATAACACAGATGCAAACAAATTGGAACAGCGAGGGGCTGGAGACCTTCGCTGTGCAGAAACAGCACACAGAAGCTGATGTCTGAAATCGGGAACAAATTCCCCACTGGGGCCCCACAGCGAGAACCTGCAATGAGCTGCTCAGTGGGGCACAGAGCGAGTGAGCAGAGGCGCGTTGGAGTGGGGGGGGGGCAAGAAAGCTTTCTATTCTCATCCACCCCACTGGCAAGGTCTCTGTCGCCTCCCCCGGCAACACACGGCCTCCATTTCTGTATTTTCTTGGGCCTGTGGCCAGAATCTTTAGCTGAACAGAACATTTTCCTTGGTAGTTCCTCCAAGTTGGGGAGTGTGGGATGCATAGGTAAAGGGACCCCTGACCATTAGGTCCAGTCGTGACCGACTCTGGGGTTGCGGTGCTCATCTCGCTTTATTGGCCGAGGGAGCCGACGTACAGCCGGTCATGTGATCAGCATGACTAAGCCGCTTCTGGCGAACCAGAGCAGCGCACAGAAACACCGTTTACCTTCCCACCAGAGTGGTACCTATTTATCTACTTGCACTTTGACGTGCTTTCGAACTGCTAAGTGGGCAGGAGCAGGGACTGAGCAACGGGAGCTCACCCCGTCGCGGGGATTCGAACCGCTGACCTTCTGATCTGCAAGTCCTAGGTTCTATGGTTTAACCCACAGCGCTGCATAGGTCCTAGCTAAGGCTAGGATTCCCCAACCCATTGCTGTAATTGCAAATGGAGGTGGGAATTACCGTATTTTTCGCTCTATAAGATGCACCAGACCATAAGACACACCTAGTTTTTGGAGGAGGAAAACAAGAAAAAACATATTCTGAATCCCAGAAGCCAGAACAGCAAGAGGGATCGCTGCGCAGTGAAAGCAGCAATCCCTCTCGCTGTTCTGGCCTCTGTGATAGCTGCGCAGCCTGCATTCGCTCCATAAGACACACACACATTTCCCCTTACTTTTTAGGAGGGAAAAAGTGTGTCTTACAGAGTGAAAAATACGGTAGTTCCTCAGTCTATTTTAGCTGAGAAGAGGCGGGAAGGGAATTTGATGGCCTTAGCTAGGACCAGGCCTAAAGTCCACATAGACAGCTGGGGAAATAAACACTATGCAATATTCTGTTACTGGGCAATCTCAACACTGAGTAAGAAATAAAATCAAGCTGCTAGGCTGATGTCAGTGGAAACAGAAGGAAACTAAATGAGGCGCTCATTCACAAAGGTGTTGATAACACAGAAATCTTGGCATCGGTAAGCCTAGTAGTGGATTTATTTCCAGTAGGGTTAAGGAACTAGGCCACACAAGGCTCTGCTGCTCAGAAGACAGGGTGGCACGTTCACTGTAATTTAGGGGTGTCCAGTTGCTGCCCTTTCACCCCCCCAGCAGATGTTTGCTTGCACAATAGTAATAATTATTAATAATAATTTATTATTTATACCCCACCACTCTGGACGGCTCCCAATCGAATGTTAAAAACAATACAGCATTAAATATTAAAAACTTCCCTAAACAGGGCTGCCTTCAGGTGTCTTTTAAAGATAAGGTAGAAGCTTATTTCCTTCCACAGGGCGGGCGCCACTACTGAGAAGGCCCTCTGCCTGGTTCCCTGTAGCCTCACTTCTCACAATGAGGGAACCGCCAGAAGGCCCTCGGAGCTGGACCTCAGTGTCTGGGCAGAACGATGGGGGTGGAGACACTCCTTCAGATATACTGGACTGAAGCCGTTTAGGGCTTTAAAGGTCAGCACCAACACTTTGAATTGTGCTCGGAAATGTACTGGGAGCCAATGCAGATCTCTCAGGACCAGTGTTATGTGGCCTTGGCGGCCGCTCCCAGTCACCAGTCTAGCTGCCGCATTCTGGATTAATTGCAGTTTCTGGGTCACCTTCAAAGGTTGCCCCACGTAGAGCGCATTGCAGTAGTCCAAGCGGGAGATAACTAGAGCATGTACCACTCTGACAAGACAGTCCGCAGGCAGGTAGGGTCTCATCCTGCGTACCAGATGGAGCTGGTAAACACCTGCCCTGGACACAGAATTGACCTGTGCCTCCATGGACAGCTGTGAATCCAGAATGACTCCCAGGCTGCGCACCTGGTCCTTCAGGGGCACAGTTACCCCATTCAGGACCAAGGAGTCCACCACACCCACCCGCCCCCTGTCCCCCAAAAACAGTACTTCTGTCTTGTCGGGATTCAACCTCAATCCATTAGCTGCCATCCATCCTCCAACCGCCTCCAGGCACTCACACAGGACCTTCACCGCCTTCACTGGTTCTGATTTAAAGGAGAGGCAGAGCTGGGTAGAGGTAGAACTTCCCTTTCCTTCTCCCCTGAAGCCCCTGATGGACTCACCAAATCTGCTCCAGAGGACTGTCCAGAACAGATTTGGGGACAGGAGAGGAGAGTGAGAGTGAGAGTGGTCCCCTTTCTCTCCTTCAGACAAGGTGGGAAATCTCCCCTCTGCAAGATCAACTTCCTTTGGAATAAAACCACCCGGCCTTTATTTGAAAGCATGAACTATTCTTAACTGGGAGCTGCGTTGCTTAAAATAAACAGTGATAGTGCAAAAACAGCCTCGCCTCGCCCTGCGTTGCTCAAGAGCTCGTGCTCAAATTTGTTTTGACTGCACATCACACAAAAATCCCCTTCCACGTTAAATATTGTATTAACTGATAGCATTGGATTAAAACTCCAGCCTCACACTGGAAAGGTGATTTATGATCTGCTTTTTCTTTCAGAGCAAGTCTGATTTCGCTCTTATTCTAGGCAGCAACAGAAGAGGGGGGCTGTGTCCTTAGGGATGTGGGGTAGAAAATGGGAAGGGGGAGCTGGAGGTGGGGGCAGGCAGAATTCCCCCAGACCTATGGCATGGTTGGAAATGGGTCAACTCCTCCTCCCCATTCATCCTGGCCCTTGGCCAGTTCCCTGCCAGTTTATTTGCCAGTCTTCTTGGCAAGTTTATTTTTTAAAAGGGGAGGGGGAGAGCCAGAGACATTCAATGTGCTAATGCAGAAGTTTCCCAACTCTCCACCCCTCCCTGACCACTTTTTTTTTGTTTTGGTGGGATACTTGATGTATTTTCTGTCTCTTGAAGTAATTGCAATGAATTGTGATCTGCGCGGTTTGATCTTTTAATTCTAGCTTCCCATTCACCGTGCTGCTAATCTTCTCCACTCTTTGCAAGTGTCTTCTCCTCTCAAACTTCCCTTCCCTTCTGGGCAGATGG